TGTTTTGCACCTAGGTTTCTTGCAGGGGTGGTTCTGGGGGGTTTGTGAGGGGTTGTTTTGAGGTGAAGGAAGATGTATCGTATCTTTCGTACGGATGAGAAGGTTGCCAAGGTTGGGGGGTTGTCGGAGAGCGATTAAAGGGGGCTGAGGGAAGCACTTCATCATCTTGTCAGATTTTTCTAAAATGTCTTTGTTCTGGTTGTGTATGTTGTGGACATTGGGCAGCTTTTGGTGGTGAGTGATGACAAAGAATGGCCTTTTCATCATCATCATCATCATCATCATCATCGTTGCCTTTCTCATTCTGCTCCATGGTATAGGCCACGGTTCAAAGGCTATTATTTTTGTATATGAATTTCCGCTGTCACATTTTCTTTATTACCCCTCTCCATACGTCGTGTTTCACTATCGTATCCATACGACGTGAGGAACCCTGTGCCACCACTTTTTAAAGAGGAAATTTACTTGTTAATCCGATCCGTACACTTTGCATAGCAGTCTGTCAAAATGATTTTTTTGAGAAGTACTGAAAGTTTGAAAGAGATCTTCGCTCCAGAAGTATTCTAAAATGTGAAGAATACAACCCCGGGGGGTACAAAATGACCCCAGGGCATACGGATAGGGTTGAATTATTACTTTTTCCCTCTATACAGGCATCTGGATCATGGGACAAAACGGTTCGGCTTTGGAACCCCAGAAATGGGAAGTGCCTCCGACTACTGGAAGGGCATCAGGGCTGGGTACAGGCCCTTTCCTTTTCCCACGATTCCACGTTCATCGCGAGCGCTGCCGACGACGACTCTGTCAAGGTGTGGGACATTCCTAGTGGAGAGTGCATCAATTCTCTGGAGGTTAGTGTGGTGAGATTAATCATACCATGTGTGTGTGTAAGTGTGAGTGTGTGTGTATGTGTGTGTACATATGTGAGGTGAGCTGACAAAATGAGTTACTTCACACAATCCACAAATGGAGATATTGGCCAAAAATTGCCACAAGGGTCAAATTTGTAGAGTTTTAATTATCAATGCCGTATTCTTTAACAATAGCGCCTTTTGTTTTTTCATTCTAATAAATTATAAAAACTTCAACTATAAGTGTTGAGAGGCCTTATATCTTTTTCTATGAGTCTTGAATCTGAGAAGTAACTCATTTTGTCAGCACACTTCACATATTGCATGTGCATGAACGAGAGAGAGAGAGAGTGATTGATAGGGAGAGAGAGAGAGAGAGAGAGAGAGAGAGAGAGAGAGAGAGAGAGAGAGAGAGAGAGAGAGAGAGAGAGAGAGAGAGAGAGAGAGAGAGAGAGAGAGAGAGAGAGAGAGAGAGAGAGAAAGAGAGAGAGAGAGAGAGAGAGAGAAATAGAGAAAGAGAGGGTGTGTGTGTGTGTTGACAATTGTGTATATATTATAAATAACAATGTTGGAGGGCAAACCTCCAGAGCATGACAACTATCCTATGTTTAAAAAGATTGAGATGGCTGGGCCATGTCAAGAGAATGGATGACAACCGGATTCCGAAGCAACTTCTCTATGGAGAACTTGCCCAGGGAAAGAGACAAAGAGGAAGACCAAAATTGAGGTACAAAGACACCTGCAAAAACAGCTTATCTAAGCTTGGAGTAGATGTTAACACCTGGGAAGAAATAGTTGAGGACCGGAAAACATGGAGGAAAATGATAAAGGAAAGAACTAAAATGCTAGAGAACAGCCTTAGAAACAACCAGGCTGAGAAGTGCCAACGATGAAAGGAAAACAGTGGAAATACAGAGCTTCGATCTACGACATTGACATGCAAGCACTGCGACAGAATCTGCGCTTCAAACATAGGAAGAATTAGCCATTAAAGAAGCTGCATGAAGACAGCCTTGAGACCATCTTAAGCTAAATTGACCGTCTGCATAGATGAAAAGAGCCATATATGTTGCAGCAAATTTCTTAGTGTAGAAATCAATAAATTTTTATGCCAAGCGGGAAGAAAAAATTAATGCCGTTTTCTTAGATTTCTGTATATAGACGAGCACCTCAGATATCACTCCAATGCCTCCCATTTGTGTCACAAGGTGATGGAATTGGACACTCGGCAGGGTTTGAGCAAGTGGAGTTATTGGTATAATTTTAAAGCTTGTTCATTTGTCTATCTTTCGAAGAAAAAATGGTCTCTTTTAAGGACAAGCAGGCTAACCCAGATTTCGGGGGTCTTCAGAAATCTTGACCTACACCAAAAGTGGGAATTATCCTACCTATAGGAGAAGTTTAGTTACATTGTTGTTTATATTTGTTTGGTTATAGAGAAAACTCTCCTTGTTTTTTAAAGAAACTAAACAAGGGCAAAAACTTTACCTTCAATTTTCTCAAAACAGCATTTTTCGGAATAGCTCCCTTGTACTTAAAAGCGACCAAATGTCCATCTAGATCAAGAATAGGAGGTGAAATATTTGTGTTGGAAGGAGGTGACGGTCACTGGTTTCAGAGATAATGTTAGCGAGAAATTGACCTACAAAATTTGGTTATTTCCATTGCTTGAATGTCTTTGGAAACTGAAAATATTTTGTGCCTTTAATAAATATGTTTTTCAGTAAAAATCCTCACAGAAATGTGTTTTTAGATGGACATAAAAGGTGTTGAGGAAAAAACCCCAAAATATTAATTCAATTTTTTTATGAGCCCCTGATTTCACCATGATACTTTACAAATGTTTTTTTTTTTCAGGCTATCACTGACTTGGCACAGCACTGTGCCTTCACCAGCAACGGTTTGCTCATCGCGTCTGGAGCTGCCGTGACGAAAGCGAAGAAACTGCCACCCAAGACGACAGACGAGGGAGAACTGCTGAACTTGATGAACCAGGAATCGTGAGGCGTACGTGCACAGCCAAAACTGTTACAGTTTTATGAACACTTTGTGACCAATGGTTTCTTTACTACCACACAATTCTGGTAAGATTGTTACATTTGTAAGAGATAATTTTCTATTGTGGTACTGCAGTCAAAATGATTTATTTAAAACATTTTGTGCTGAAAGTTTAGATTTTTTGATGAAGGAATGATCAAGTGAAGTATTATCTTTAGATTTGATATCAATATTATATTTTACCCAAAGAAATGAAAGAGCATGAATTTGATTTCCAATTGCCAAATTTGTTTGTTTTTGCTAGCAAAAGTCTTGATCAAACAGAACTTATTCTGCATAAATCGTTGAAAAAAATTGTTTTGTAAAAATTGAAATTGTGTTATGAGTTTGTGTGCAGTGGGTATTATTGTATAACATGTATTCTTGTATTTTTGGCTGTGATTTTTATATATTATATACTGTATGGGTCTTTATCTAATTTTAAAAAATGCTTGGTTGATGACAATAGATTGTCAATCTGTGATGTCCCCTTTGACTCTGACACAATGTAGAGATGATATAGGAGATAGGCAGCTTTTACTGTGCCTGTCAGGGCCAAGCAGATCCATGTTGTGTTGCGTATGACATTCCAGCCATGCAGGCATTTTAAAAAGGAAATGAAAAAAACCGACAGACTGGCTGGTGAGGCCACCTCAGTTGACGGCATGGTTTAACCAAACAGGGTTGAGATCCTGAAATTTCTCGTTCGTCACCTGATTGAAGAGATCACCTGATTGAAGAGAAAGATAAGGAGGCAGAGGACAGTACTGCTGCGGAGAGGATGGTGGTTTTGGGAGTGCAGATAGGAAGCCGAAAATCTGGCATCCTTGCAGGGCAGAACAGAAGAACGTTCAAACAGATATGCACTGGCACAATCAATAGAAAGACTCTCAGCGACATTTTGGAGTGAGCAACGGAGCATCAATGGATGTGTCCGGAATGCAAGGATGTTGCTTTCTTAAACAATGAGATAATGAGTGAAATCCCAGCTGACAGATGGGGAGATAATAATAATAGCTCGTCCGTCAACATCTGACGATGACCAATACATCCACAGAGGAGAATATTTCTTCAGCCAAATAGAAGAATTTGGAAGAATTTAAAGGTTAACCCTTTCACTACCACGGGGTTTTCCTCACCTGTACCAGGCCCTATCTGTGACCTACTTTCTGATTCTGTCTGCCCTCGGACAAATTAAAGATTCTGAGTTCAATTTTCAACATCGGCCACATGTATTATAAAGGAAAATAAAGGGGAAATAATGACCTATCTCAAAATGTTTCCAAAAACGTTCATTCTCCAGCTTGAGATTTCAGTTTTGATTTATTACAAAAGTAGGTGTGGTTTTGAAGCAGCAAGTGGAGAGCCGTGAAACACGATTCGCAGTCCAGCGTTGGGAGTAACACAAGTCATGAAACACGGCTGGCGGTAGTGAAAGAGTTAAGATGACTTGTGGCTTCTGCTGCTCTCGATGAGACCAATTGTGGTGGAGAAAAGTTTGCCTCAGTTTTAGCATTTAAAAGCTGCTCCATTTTCACTTACTTGTGAAATTTACGAATCTGTGTTTCTGATTTGTGTATGATTGTTCAAAATGTGCAGCACTCACTTATCACTATTACCCATATTCTGATAAAACATAATATTATCATGTGTCCGTTATGTCCTTAAACAGTTGAACTGTCTTGAAATGTGTGGAAGGGAAAATTGAAGTTTTAGATTTATTAATTTTACTCCCTGAAATTATAAACATGAACAAAAAATGCATTTTATCCCTCACTCGCAAACTTTGAGTGAGGCTGTGGTATTTAATTTAATTTACACAATGTTTCAACTCTTTTGCTACAATTAGTCTATAATAAGACACGACCACTATTGCCAAACTAAGAAGCATCTAAGGTTAGAGATGTACTTTCGAATGTGTTGTTGCAGAGCTCCGGGGAAACCCCCCCCCAACTATTATGTTAGAGTAATAGAAAAATCATAATTATAATGATATTATCGTAAATGAGTTAATTAATGTATTCAGATTTTCAGTCTACAGCTTTTGTATCTGCACTCTTTTATCATTCACACACATAATGTGTACCAAGACAAGACTGAAGTTATAATTTTAGTATTTGAAACATGCACCACTGTTTTAATTACCATTTAAATGGTCACTATCAGTGGGTGTTAATGTTGAATTAATTGTTTGTTATGAAGGTGATACTTGCACTTACTGTTTTTATTTTTGTTTTTGGTTGATTGTCAGCATTATAACAAAATATTATTGTACTACATATTATGTATAAACTACAAGTCTCATTAATTGTTTGTTTGAAATAATATATATATATATATATATATATATATATATATTTGGTGTTTTTCTGAACCCTTTATGTTGTACACATAGTTAGAATAAGCCTGCACCACTGAATCCGACATGTTGAGTACAGTTTGTGTTCTTGACTCTTTTAAACTATTTACTGAAGCCATTCATGTAGTTTAAACCCCTTTTGCGTCACTGTTCAAGAGAATGTGGGTGGTTGGCCGGTGCTCTGGTGTGGTTTGCTCCTTCTTTCATATCAAACATCTATCGTCCTTATCTCCCCTCCTTCTTTTTTATGTTTTTTACTCTCTTGTAACACCAGCTCTAATCTTCTGGCGCTCATATGACCTTATGCAGTTGCAAGCGCCGTAAAACCTCTACTAAAACTAAACTATTCAAGAGAATAATATGGTCATATAGTACAAATAGAGACGGGAATGTACTGTTGCATGGTGCAAGGAGGTTCCAAGTCTTGTATCCCTTCAGACAGGAGGCCCCCTCCCCCTCTCCTCCTTTGCCCCCTTCTCTGGGCTCCTGACTCTTTCTGCAGCCTTTCTACTGCTTCTCCTTGGCTCCTTATTTCTGTCTTTCAGCCACACTCCTAATGTTATGGCAAGAAAGATCTAGATATTCCATTTTCGGACAATGGCGAAAAATCTCGGGGGGGGGGGGGTTCCTGTATTCAAGTTGCTCACATTAAAGATCCCTTGGGGTCCAAAATGGGTAAGAATAGCCTTTGGCCGCCACCCAGGAAAAATTCAAAATTTCCTACCGACTGAAAGTGTTTGGTGTATCCCGTGCACTCATATGATCTTATGCAGTTACGAGCGCCGCAAAACACTTAAAAAAAACCCACAAAGAAAGACGGGAAAGGCTCTCATGACTTCACAGAAGCTCCCCAGTGGTAAAGCCTTTTGATTCTTGCCCATTTCCAGAGACCATATCCTGATCCAGACATACAGCACAGCAGAAGGTTAGGCGCTCAAACTGAAGCAGTCATTCTCAAATTTCTTTTTTCTCTGATTACAAACTTACTTACTACCCGTTACGCCATCTGGCGTTTAGGGCAGCAGCAAATGATCTCCAGCTCTGTCTGTTTTGGGCCATCTTGGTCAATGTCCCCCACGAATGGTTCCTCTGATTAGTAGTAACATATTTTGTAAAAATTACTATCATGCACCCCCACCCCCCCAAATATTAAATTTTAAAATATATCAGTCCTGTTTCTCCACTCTTTTAGCGAGTAAAAGGCTGAGTTGTAAAGTCAGGAAGGCACAATAAAAAATGTATGGTTTAGCGACTTTTGCGATATGAAGCCAGATTGACTGTGTCTGTTTTTTTTTCTCTACAAAACAAGCTGCTTGTGTGGGTTGGGTTTTTTTGTGAGGGATTTTTTTCCTGGGTCATGACATGTTTTTTGTGATTCTTTCTGGGTGATGGCGTGTTTTTGTGAACCTTTCTGGGTCATGACATGTTTTTTGTGATTCTTTCTGGGTGATGGCGTGTTTTTGTGAACCTTTCTGGGTCATGGCGTGTTTTTTGTGATTCTTTCTGGGTCATGGCGTGTTTTTTGTGATTATTTCTGGGTATGGCGTGTATTTTGGTGATTTTTTTTCTAGGTCATGGCGTGTTTTTTGTGATTCTTTCTGGATCATGGCGTGTTTTTTGGTGATTTTTTCTGGGTCGTGGCGTGTTTTTGTGAAAATTTTGTTTCTGGGCTATGGCATGTTTTCGTTACTATTATGATGTGATTGGTGTTAAAACTCAGGACATTTTATAATATAAATATGTGACATTATACAATATGTGTAAATCAAAATAACATATTTTTGTGCAGGAAACGTATTCTAATGGTATCTGTTCTACTTCTCAAGTATCTGGAGCGTTATTCTTTTACCAAAACAAAGAAAAAGAAAATATTTGATAAACATACTTACATCTTATTTTATATTTTGTTGAATTGGCATTATCACAGTGATACACACACACACACACACACACACACACACACACACACACACACACACACACACACACACACACACACACACACACAGAGCGAGAAACAGAGAGAGGGAGAGGGACAGAGAGAGACAGAGGGAGAGACAGAGGGAGAGACAGAGAGAGAGACAGAGAGAGAGAGAGAGAGAGAGACAGAGGGAGAGACAGAGAGAGAGACAGAGAGAGAGAGAGAGAGAGAGAGAGAGAGAGAGAGAGAGAGAGAGAGAGAGAGAGAGAGAGAGAGAGAGAGAGAGAGAGAGAGAGAGAGAGAGAGAGAGAGAGAGAGAGAGAGAAACTAACAATTAATTCATTGAAATCAGACCGAGGAATATTTTTTTTTCTGCTTTAGGGGCTATGAGCTATTAATTCTTGGCAAAGCACGTACTTTAGTTTGATATGTGCCCTCAGGTTTGACTGATTTTATGAACAAACAAGATTCTGCAGACAAGTTGTATCAGACAAATCGCTACCCTAGTCGAATTACACATGTCTACATGTATCTTCTCAGTACCTATTGAGCATTTTTTTACGTTTAAAATTTTGAGTTTCACAACATGTCAAGGTCTTTTTTTGTTTGTTTGTTTTAGTATAATTTTTACTGCGCTTGCAACGCATTAAGTCATATGAGCGCCAAAGGTCTTTTTTTTCTGAATGCAATTCTTTGAATATCTTGAAAACAACTCTGAATAATCTTACGGTTTTGATAGAGCAGATTTGGTTTCTGACCTCACGGTCTTGATAACCCAAAACGTCCTTACTTAAATGTCAGATAAAACTTTGTTATTCTAAGGTACTAGTTAAATGTCTTCTATACCTAAAGGACCATCAATAGAGCAAGACATACACATGCTATATTTTCAGGGTTTTTTTGTTGTTCTTTTTTAAATGTTGTAATCGCTATTTACAAATGTATGCTCTGGGTAATCTCAACTGTCTCAAGTAGGCCTATGCTACATAATATTATCTGCTGATTTTCTCTTTAAAAATAATTATTATGTAACCTGTGATTTCCATCAACTAGATGTCTTATTCAAGGCTATGTTGTGTTGATTTTGTTTAAGTTTAATCAATGTGCTGGAATTTTTTAGATTTTTATTCTTTGATTGTTGTTGTTTTTTGTGTGTGTGTGTGTGTGTGGGGGGGGGGGGGGGGTTATTAATGGGGGGGAGGGGAGACTGATTAGTCTGGAGTTTCTGGTTCTGTTTGGAAAATGATATCTTATCTGGATATTGCTTTCTAAAATTCCCAATGCTTTCTTCGTATAGAACCTCTGCCAAACATCATACTTGGAAGATATTATTATTATTGTCATTTATTTCAGTGTACTGATTCTTGCAGCTTTTACACATCGCAAACTTTGTGTTGTCTTGTACCAATTCAAATTTAAAAAAAAATTTTTTTTGGTGTAAGTACTTAATTAGTTTATTCAGTGTTTAAGGCCGATTTTGGTGTAAATCCCTTTGAAAACTGATTGATAATTCCAGTCGCAAAAAAATGGGGGTTACTTAAAGAATAAAACTGGAAGTCTCCAGAAAAATGTCCTGAACCGTTACATCTTGGGGCTCGAAAGGAAGATTGATGTGAGGCATCGTGGTGAAATCAGGCGCTCATCATTAGGCTATAATGAAATCAAAGAAATAGGCTTTTTTTTAGCTGGTGGGCAATTTTTTTTTTCTAATTTTATTATTTTGGCACACTACCATTTAAAACATAATATTTGTGCGTGGATTTTACTGAGAAAATCATTATTTAAAAGCGCAAAAAAATGTAAAGTTTCAGTTTCCAAGGACTCTCAAGCTATGAAAGTTACCAAACTTTGGCTTCCATTTTCTCGCTGATTTTACCTCTGAAACCAGGCGACCCTGACTTCTTCCAATCGCAATTTTCGACTTCTGTTAAAAATAGATTGATATTTTTTCCACCAAAAGGAAGGCAAATGAACAAGCTTTAAGATAATACCAATAACCCCATGTGCCCAAAAATTGACGAACGCTTGATTTCACCACATCGTGACATATTTATTTTTCAACAGCCTGAAAGTTGTTACAAAACTCTCAAAAATTGGAAACTGGAGTAACTTAATACAGGACAGTTCCCATTTCTATAGTAGCCATTGCAAAACGAACTGCGGTTTGTTTTTTTGTTTTGTTTTTTCTTCAGATTTCCTTGGGTGAGCGGGGTCTGGTGTCGTAAATACACTAGGCTTGTCTGAAGCCTATAGAATGTTGTTTCGATGAAACTGTGGAATCAGGCACTCGTCAATTTTGGGGATTTGGAGTTGGGGTTATTAAATAAGATGAAAGATTGTCAATTTGTTTTGCTCATGATGGATAAAACCCATCCATCTTGAATAGAAGTCGACTTATTAGATCATGTATAGATATGGCGACCTCAGTACTTTTTTTTGTCGTATCTCCATTTTTAATAACTGAGAACAGTTCATAACAAAGAGTGAGCTTAAGAAGAAGTCACATTTTCAATGTTTAAAAAACGTAGACACGACAAGAAAGCACTGAAGTCGCGACATGAATATGCACGATTGAAGGAAGTAGGGATTGCTTTGCGACAGAGGTAAAACTAGCGAGAAAATGCCGGCCAGAATTTGATGATTTCCAAAGTTTGGGTGTCTTTCAATATTGCTATAAATTTATATTAATTTCTGTACTTTTAATCAACGTTGTTTAAAAAAAAAAGTAAATATCCACCCAGAAGTGCGCGTTTTTCTTTTTAAGAAAAAAAAGAATGAAAAGTATCGATAAAAATTGCTCAACGGGGGACACAGTTGTGTTTTTTTTCTTTCGATTTCATTGTTTTGACTAGAGCCTGATTTCACTACAATTTCAATGTCACACAACTGAATAATAATTATGTCACTCAGTATCATGAGATGATAATTCCTCGACCTAGGAACACGTTTCACAAGAGTAATAATTATATCATGCGATTCTCATTGTTTTTGTTTTGCTGCTGAGAAACTATAATGGCGACATGTGTTTGTTTGCTTTGACAATCATCATCGTATTGTGTTGGTCCCCGGTCATCAATTGTCATGCATCGTGGTGAAATCAGGCGCTCTTAGAAATCATTAAATCAAAGAAACTGGCATGTTTCTGGCCTTCAGGCCATTTTTTTTTAATTTTCTTTTTTTTAGCTCAACACCCTTTATATCTATTTAAAAACACATTCCCGCGTTGATTTTTACTGAAAATCATTGATTAAAAGCACAAAATGTGCAAACTTTCAGTTTCCAAGGAGTTTGAAGCTATCGAAATTAACACACTTTGGCGGCCATTTTCTCGCAAATTTTACGTCTGAAAGCAGGCGACCCTAACCTCCTTCAATCGAAAATATCTCGACTTCCATTCAACATAGATCGATATTTTTTTCACCAATAGCAAGGCAAATGAACTGACTTTAAAGATGATATGAAAAATTGATGAGCGCCTGATTCCACCATGCCATGCCAGGTTAGTTTGTCTGTCTACTGTAATGCTCTTATTCCACACTTAGGGTTTCAGGCAGATTGTTACACTAAACTTCTCCCTTTCAAATCCATTATTATAATCCTAGATTAAATTATCGTCTTACCATTTTGTGCGAAGTGTAATGACTATAACATTATATATTTGATAGTTCTAAAGGATTTCTCCTCTGTTTGAGTGTGTATGTGCGCTATGTCAATTCAATCTATTATGATTCTATACCGGTCTATCATTGTGAACATGCAAGTAATAGTAATACCATCTGAGCACTGATCTGATACGCATGTTGGGACTTATTATTGACGCAAACAAGAATAAAATCACAGATGTTATAATCCTCAGAAAGTTGTGTCGTTTACGTGATAATTCAATGTCCTCATTTGGTGTTGGATATTAGCTACTTCTAAAACGTGTCGACATAGTTGTGTGCATGTGTGTGTGTGTGTGTGCATGTGTGTGTGTGTGTGTGTGTGTGTGTGTGTGTGTGTTTGTGTGTGTGCATGTGTGTGCATGTGCGCGTGTGTTTATGTGTAGTTTTATATCCACCAGAACTAGAAAATCAAATGCACACATTTATTGATTTTGTAAGATTTGATCAAACAGTGGTAAAATGGCATCGTTTGCCCTCCCATTTAAAGAAAACCTTGCAGGAATCAAATGCAAAAAACCCCTCAATATCAGTCCTATGGAGATTTAATGAAACTTTCTGCAATGCACACAGGGCGCAATAGCCTCCGTTTCTTTTGCGTACAGTACTCTGATCTCAGACACACATCCTCTTCCTTTGAGATAGAAAGGATGAGGCTTAAAAAAGAAGTACAACAACCCAGATTCCGTTATTTTAGATGAAGACTAAAAAAAACCCTGCAAAACAAAACCAAACAGAAGCCCCCCCCCCGGGCCGCAAAAAAACCAACAACAAACAAACAACAAACCAACAGCCAAAAGCAGCTACAACACGAACAGAACAAACTTTAATTAGATTATGATTTTGTTGGTATCAGGATGAGAAAAGTAATAATAATATTCACCACGTCTTTTGACGATGAAGCAAAAAGCTGACAGGTTGGCAATAATTTATAGTGTGACTTATTGACAGATAGCAATGATGAGTAGGAAGACCAGCGGCGTTGTAATGGAGTAACAGTTTTTTTTCTTTAATGGAATAAAAGTTAATGCTTCTAAAATCTCTTCCTGTCTTTTGGACTGCAGCATCTTACTCAGAACTAAGTGAATGTTTGAAGGGGCCCACCTCATAAACTGGATAAATAATAATTGTGTTGTGTCAATGGATGCTAAATAAATACTTTTGAAAATCATCATGGACCTCCACTTCACTCTGTCTTACGTTGCAGCGATCGATGGAGTCTGTCTTTCTTGCTGTTTCCAGATATGTTGTCAACTTGTTCAGCATCTTTTCCCTCTGTAGGTGGTTGCGCGGGTGCTTTGGTGTGGTTTGCTTCTTTTTTCCTGTCAAACATCTATAGTCTTTATCTTCCCTCCTTTTTCGGGTTTGTTACTCTCTTGTAACACCTCTAATCTTCGGCACTTATATGACCTTATTGTGTTGCAAGTGAAATCAAATTCTTACTAAAACTATCTTTTCCCTCTTGTCTGCCTCTTACTCACTTTCCATCAAACTTGGCTGTTGTTACAATATTCTCCAATACTTCTTTCCTCATTGTGTGTCCAATCAACTTTGCCTGTTGCTTTTGTAGGCCTATATTCGTCATAAACTATCTTCTGCAATTTGCTTCAACCAAGACAAAGTCTTCTTCATTTATTGTTTTTCTAGCTGTCCATGGGATACACAGCATGCGTCTTATGAACAAAACTCTGTTGTCTCAATTGTCTTTTGAAAATGCAGATACCCCCCCCCCTTCAAAAAATGTGCTATGATGAAACATTTCGTCAGTTTTCGGGCATATTCAGTGTGACTTAGTGGTACTATCAAAAAGCTCGTTCATTTGTCCAAGAAAATTGTGGTCATTGTCTACAATATATATTATTATGAACATACACTTGGACAAATAATGACAGCTAGTACGGTAAAGTAAAACGTAACCAAAGCTATCTACATAAATTGCACGACATGGCGTTAATATGATACTGATATTAATAATAATCATAATGTACTCATTTAAGTCAATACTATGTACACTATCTGACAACGTGTAAGGCCCGAGCACACTTGGAAAAGTTCTCACTCTTCTTGTGGCTGCCAGTATGCAAATGATGCCATTTTCACCCCCTCCTCTTTCTCTATTCACCACCAAGTGACGCCATTCTTCGCAATCTTACTATGGGTGAACATTTCCCAGGGCATTCATAGTCTCTAATTACATGTATTATACTAAATCTATGTAATTTTACATCTATGATACTTCTAACGATAGTATCCAATTAAAAACGCCATCACTGAGAGCCCCAAGGCAGCGTTGATATTCAAGATGGCCTCCCATCTCGGGTTCTCGATGAGGAAACTTCTGCGTTCGTTGAGCGTAATGGCCGCCGTCTGTTTATTCTTGGCCTGGGCTTTGGGCATTCCGCATGCGGCGTTCACCCAACGTTGGCATCTCCCTTCCTCGTCGTCGCTGTCCTCGTCGTCGTCTTCCTCGTCTTTGCGAGTGTCACGTGAGGAAGTCTCGTCATCTTTTGGATGAGATGATGATGATAATTATAGCCTAATAATAATTATGATGACGATGACGATGACGATGACGATGACGATTATAATAATAATAATAATAATGAATAAAGAAAGAATGATAATGTTGGTAATAAGGATGATAGTGTTAATAAATATAATAATAATAATAGTAATAATAATATCGTCGAACCTGCAATGACGGCCTCCTGTCTAATACGGCCACCTGGTCCTATACTAACGGCCACTTTCCATTTCATCCTTGCGTTTTTCTAAATATTATAATTTAACTGTAAAATGGTCACCTGCGCAACGCGGCCGCAGCCACCTTATTTTATCAACCCACGGTCAAATTTACCTCTCCCAGGCGGCCAGGCGTGGTCACTCATCGCCCGACGATTTGTCATAAATTTTGAATCGGCCCCTCACGCTGTGGACGGGCTGTCATGATAATTCATTCACCTGTCGTTACTGTTAGTCCCGCCAATGAATGTTTACGCAAGTTGACTAATGGGTACGTCTAACGATAAATGTTCAACTGCTTTTGAGGGAAGCATGTGATCCGTCATAACCAACTCCTACTTTTAAAGCTGGCGTTAGTCAAAACCTATAAGCCCCGCCCTCAACTCATGAACTTAGTGGTATCAGAGGTAACTGGTCACTGTTTTGTTTACCTTATCTGTAACAAAATAACAATGGGCGTTAACGTGAACTTGCGACAGAAGCATCGCTCGTTCTCCGAGTGGTGACGACCTGTGTGTTTGTTTTACCTTGGCACTCGGTTTTCATCGTCTTACTTACATAATATTTCGTTCATTTTACCCTTGCACAAAGTCAGAGACAAAAAGAAAATGTCAAGCTTATCAAAATAAAAAAACCAAACCCAAAACAAATCAACAAACCCTTCTAACACCACCCACAGCCTTTTCCCCCCCCCCCAAAGAAAACAAAAACTCTTGAATTAGCTTTACGGCAGTCTACAGCCTGAGATTTACCCTGCTTTGAGCCTCAGAAGAGAGTGATTAATTGCTTCCTTCATTTTGATCAGTCCTGCCTGAGACGGCCACCTGTGTGCATATGGCCACTTTTCTCCTTGACAATGAGTTGTCGCTTTACACAGGTTTCACTGTATAGCATTCATATAGCGCACACCCACGCTTTACAGTGTGCCCATCAACACAATTACTTAGATCATTTTGGAGGCGGGCCTTCTGCATACGACGGCAGAAAGCCTAAGCTCTACATTCACCTCAGATTCCGGTGAGAAAAGTAAAGGTTCTAGATTTATTTCCGAGAGTAGTGACAATCCCCCCCCAATCCTCTGTACTGACGAGAGAAATAGAGAAACAGAGAGAAAGATAGATAGATAGATAGATGTAGATAGATAGATACATGTAGATAGATAGATAGGAAAGAGAGAGAGAAGGAAAGAGAGAGAGAGAGAGAGAGAGAGATGGAGAGAGTTAGGAGGGTAGTTGGAGGGGAGGGGGGGGGTGGAGCTCACTCACCAGTAGGAAAATCTCCATTCCTCATCTGAAAGGATCTGTCACCATCGTCCTCGTTCTGTAGCTTGTCCGAGTGGTCCACCCTAGTCCACCACGTCACCCCGTACAACTGGGAGGCGCGCAGAAAAGAGAAATCAAAGTTCCAAAACCACATCTTAATAAAAAGAAAACATTCTAAAACCACATCTTAATAAAAAGAAAAAAATTAAAAACCACACCTTAAATAAAAACAAGACAATTCTAAAATCACTTCTTAATAAAAAAGAAAAAAAAAAAAGTTCTAAAAACACATCTTAATAAAAAGAACACAATTCTAAAATAAAACCACATCTTAATAGATAGAAAAACAAACTTAAAACTATATCTTAATAGAAAGAAAAAAAAATTAGAAACTACATCTTGATAAAAAGATAAATATTCTAAAACCAAATCTAAAAAAACCCCCATTTTAATCACCTATTAAAAAAAGAACAAAATTCTAAACCAACATCTGAAAAAAAGAAAAATTTCTAAAATCACATCTTCAAAAACAAAACAAAACAAAATTCTAAAGTCACATTTCTAAAAATCAATTTTAAAACAACATCTTCAAAAAATCAATTCTAAAAATACATCTTCAAACAGAAGCAAATTTTCTAAAACCACAACTTAAAAAAGAAACAAAATCTTAAACACTGTAGACAATATCACTTATAAAACCGGAGAAACAGTAAAAGGAAATCAAACTTCTAACATACGTACACATATCACAAGTATCGCTACCTCAGAACTATATAGTTCTATATTGTGCTCATGCAGTACCTAGTTTTGAGGACTTAGACATCAAAGATTTAGAGTTTCACAACGTGACAAACTTTTTCAAACGTAACTCTTTGAATGTTTCAATAACGACTCCGCAAAGTCTTACATTTTTGATGGAGCAGATATAGAACATAATTTAGTTCCTCACCCAATGGTCTTGGTACCGGTAACTTTAAAGAGCCAAAAATGACAAATAGCACCCCAAACCCCCTCCTCCAGACAACAAAAGACTCTCCCTTCCCCCCAAAAAAATAAAAATAAATCAACAACAACCCCCCCCAAAAAAAAACCCAACCCAAAACAAACAACAAACTTAC